GTGGTACTCCTGGTAATTCATCCGGAAATACCTCTGGGTAATCCCTTACCACTGGAACATCATGTATTACCTTCTTTTCGAGTTTGGCGTTGATGGCGTATGYCAAGTAAGCCACACAACCCTTCYGCAGACACTTGTTCGCCTTAATTGCATTGATCAACCCTACGCAACCCTTCTTTCGATTACCGTAAACCCGGATCGTTTCTCCTTCCGGAGTTTGAATCTTGATCATCTTTTTATTGCATACTATTTGCGCATGATTGTTGGACAGCCAATCCATCCCCAAGACTACGTCCAAACCTCCTAGGCACATTGGCATAAACCTAACAGGGAAGTCCTTCCCATCTATCACAATCGTGTATTCATCAAATACTTCGTCAACCTTACACTGACTACCGTCGGCTGTTTCTACAGTGCAGGTTTTGTCTAGTCTACAGGCACTCCTATTCAAATAGTGACAGAAGGCAGTAGACACAAAACTACCATTCGCACCCGAATCAAATAATACATGTGCATACACATCGTTGATAGGGAACATACCAGATACGACGTCGGGTGTTTCCTTGGCCTCCTCCAAGGTCATGTTGTAAGTTCGGCCGTGACCCTTAGGTAGCTCCTTCCTACTTTTCGATCTCTTTCCAAACCCGTTATTTACTGTCTTCGCGTGAGGTGTCGCACCATTCTGACGTTTTGGGCAGTCAGGTCGTAGATGTCCCGTAGCTCCACATTCATAACAAGTTCTCCTCTCTGGGCACTCTCGTGCGGTGTGTCCCGATTTGTCATATTTGTAGCATGTCAGGCTCCCCGCTCTGCACTCTCCCTTATGCCTCTTGTTGCATTTGTTACACGAAGGAATAGTGAATTCTTCACTTCATGTTTTTGCCAGAGTCGAAGCCCAGTTGGGCTTCTTGTTGAACTTGCTTGTTCCTTCCCACCTTCTCTTCATCTCTCTTCTGTCACAATTTTCTCTAGCGTTGTTCTCCTCGGCCACCCTTGCCATCTCCACTGCCTGTACAAATGTGGTTGGTTTAATCATGTCCACATATTGCTTGATTTTGATTCTTAAGCCGTCTTTGAAACGACCTATCTTCCTTTCCTCGGTAGCCACCTGGTAACTGGCGAATCTTGCTTTCTCAAGAAACTCGTTAACATATTCTTGAAGTGACAACGATCCTTGCTTTAATCTCAGAAATTCGGATTCTAGCTTGTTTACCTCCGATTGCGAGCAGTACTTATCCATCATCATCTTTTTCATTTGCTCCCACGTCATGGCAGCAACATCCTCATCGCCTCTGATTGCATACTCAGACTCCCACCAGTGCAGTGCATAGTCCACAAAAGTGGTAGCAGCGTAGGTCACCCTCTGATCTTCATGCATCTGCAAATTTTGAAGCAACTCTGCATCTTAGTTACCCAGTTCATCAGCCCAATTGGGCCATCTATTCCCTTGAACTCCTTCGGCCCGGTGCCCTTGAAGGTTTTATAACTGCATCCTCTCTCCTTAGCAGTCAACTCAGTCCTCTTGATGATGAGCGACTACACCTTCTCTTCATCAGACACCTCCACCCCTTCGGGGGCTTGAGTGTTCTTGTGTCGAACGCTTCCTTCCTCTTCGCCTTCATTATCCTTAAGTCTGTCACCCAACATCTCTTTAAGAATATTTGGCAATGTTTCCTGGAGGACTTGTGTCATTTGTTCAGCCATCACTTCCTTTGTGAGGGGAATCTCTCCTCCTTGGCTCCCTTGGCTCCTATCGATAGCCAAATTAGCTGGCGTGAATGGGGTCATACTCGAACTAGCGGTTCGGACACCTCCGCGACCTCGACCTTGGGCTCGTATCCGTCCCCGAACTGTCGGTGGGGCTACGCCATTGATACCTCCCCCATTGAAGGCGTTCCTTGTTGATCCTCGAGAAACCATACTGACATAATAGGGTATTATTGATTTAACAAGGTTCTAGAGTCGACTTAACATATTACATTTATGTATACCTATTATACGTATACACACGCGTATATAGCATAATCACTTTATACCAGCGAAACACATAATAAGGGATTCACGTCGCAATTACAT